TCATTCTTTATGACTCACATTAATGATTACATATGATCCTTCTCTTTTAAATTATATCACTGTTACATCATTACTACCTGTCCAGATTATATTGATCCAGCACGCAGAATAGTATCACACCCTAGAACTAAAGGTAACATCTTACCGGGCCTTAGAATGGCCGGACTTAACGTACCCGAGAATAGTCAGAAAACCAAACCGAGGTCAGGGACACAGAACGAGACACAGCGATAAGGAAAAGCCAAAAGTCAAGGGTACCAGAAATCAGGGAAGTCAAAACAAAGCCAAAGTCAAAAACCAGAAAAACACAATCAGAAAACACACTCTCAGATAACCATCTAAGGGAAACCATGACAGGACAATGAGCTAAGGAAAAAGTGATTTAAAATTTTAAATAACCCTCATCCAGATCCTATTGGCTGTACCTAGCCCTTGACCTCAAAACATGTGTGTGTGTCTTTTTCATGACGTCACCAGCACGTCAACAACATCTTTACCATGGACGGACGTGGGGCTATATAATTGCATGAGTCCGCAGAGGTCTCAAAAGCCAGGCATTATGGCAGAAGAGCACCGAGCGCCACTCCCCTTGATCTTCAGAAGGAATTATCTCAGTTTTTGCCACATGGAAACAAAGGATACATGACACTTTTCCATTAGCAGTGCATTACTCAAACACATGCTAGTATAGAGGCACAATCTATTAAAAAAAAGTTCCCTTTGCCTAGTTGCAGTTCATATGAGCTTATAGAGCACTGTTCTTTTCCACACTGTAGGATGCTCACAAACTGGATGCATGGGAAAGCTTAATTTTGTAACTCTGAATCATCATGTGACCGAATTATGAAACAGACAAAACCAACAATAAACAAACAGAATAGTTTGATCCGTGATTTGGAGTTCCAAAAAAAAAAGAGACGATTGATGGGAAAGAACAAGATTGTTGGTTAGGGGACTAAATGTTGATTTTATGCACAGATAAAGTGAGAAGAGACCAACAGAGGAAGAAATAGAGAGGAGCAGTAAGAAATGTGTATATATTAGTATATTATTTATTATATATTTAATAAATGTATACATATAGATTTTTTTATTTTTTTTACTGCTCCTCCTTTCCCTCTATTGGTTACTTTTTCTCATTTGATCTGTGAAGCAAATGCAGGGAAAATGTGCCCATAAGTGCACAAAATGTTTTGGGGTGAACCAAATGTTTCACCGTGTTCAAATATAATAAAAATATAAAATAATTTTAAGTATAATTCAAATTCTTAGCATAGAAAGGTGTAGACATGTACCCATTGCACTTAAGGGCAGAGAAGGCCAAATAAGATGTGCAGGCCAGGCAGTGGACATGTTATGTCACAAATAACAAGCATGCCTCCCAAAATGAGTAAGTTAGTGCAGAAAATTGTTGAAATGCTAATATATAGTGAAAATGTGTTTGTTTTCTGTGGCACAAGAAAATTTAATGACATGACTGAGCTGCATTTACTGGTTATTTATCTTTGGTGTCCCCAAAATTTGGATTCCAGAGGACAAAAGTGAGACAGGGCTGGTAAAGGGTGTTGTGCAATGTGCAGAGGCTACCTTTGGTGTTGTATGTGTTGGGATACTCTTGTCGTTATGCGTGTGTGTAAGGGGTTCTGTTTGTGGTTTACTATGTTCAACTAGGGGCTGTAGGGTACATGAGTGTGTAACTATGGGCTGTAGTGTGTGTATAGGGAAAGTGTGTATACGTGTATCTAGAAGCTGCAATGTGTATATGTACATATAATATGCATTGTATATTCTACATGGGGTATATTGTGTACAAGGTTTGTCTGGAAAAAGTCCAGCCTGGACTGAGCGAGCAGAGCAACAAACCTGCATCAAATTTTGTGTTACGTTTGAACATTCCTCCGCAGAAACTATTCGGATGATTCAGAAGACTTTCGGGACAAAGCAATGAGTGCAGCACAAATAAAAGTATTGCACAAAGATGGTCGGAAATCTGTTGAAAGATTTGGCGCCCTGCAACTTCTGTTTTTTTTCCAAAGCTAAAATCACCTTAAAAAGGGAAGAGTAGCCAATGGCAATTCCAACAAAGGATTTTGTAGAGTGTTTTGAAAAGTGTAAGATATGCTGGGAGAACTGTGTAAGGTCCCAAGGTGCCTACTTTGAAGGAGACTGTGGCATCATTATTCTATGTACAATGTTTCTTGTATGTTCTTCAATAAATGTCTTTATTTTTCACATTACATGGCTGGATACTTTCAGGACAGACTTCGTATCTTTAGGGAGTCTTGTGTCTATAGAGCATGTAATGTGTGTGTATAGGGGGTGTATTGTGAGTGAATGTGTGTGCACGTATAGGGGATAATGTCTGTGTATATGGAGAGTAGTTTGTATATAGGAGGAGGTGTGGAGTGTTTGCTTTCCCCAGCATTAGAGTTTGCTGGGAGGGTGAGTGATATATTTGATCTTTCCGCCAACCCATGACTGGACAGAGAGCCATCTTTGAGCATATAATGCCCTGCATGGGCTGGCTGAGATCATTTGATGTCCCCTGTCGACCTTGGTCCATGGCCATCATTGCACACTATGTATTTGCCCGTATCTAATAGGTTAGATGGAAATCAAACAAATCCTTGGGAATAAGAGACACATAGAAAGCACATTTCTAACTTGTCTATTAGAATAGAAAGCTGTGACATTAACAACAATAAAGATGCATTTGTCAGCATGCAAGAAAACAAACAAATTATAAATTATCTATGTATCATACATTTATTTTGGAGTATTATGGAGTATTCAATCTGAAAGTCAATATTTCCATTTATCATATTTGTTGATCAAGAAGAAGAAAAGCAGAGAGAAAGAATGAGTAACTGTGTCTTGCAAGAGCATGGATTTTGTTTGAAGAAGAATTTAAACAACACAAATCTCTTGTATTAACAAGATGCTGTTTATAATGTTTTCCTTCCAACATTTATTTTGTGAAAGCGAAGGCTTTAAGTTAGTACGCTATGGTTCTGTTTAAGATATTAATTGAAAGGCTTCATTCTATGGGTAGTGATGTGCGACAAAAGAGCTGAAGTGATAACATTTCATGTTTTTTATTTTATTCCCATCATATGTAAGTATTGACATCTTAACAGTGTTGTGAGGATTAAAATGTGTCAGCTGGACCGTCACTGCTATCCGGCTATCATCAACTGTTAAAAAAAATGTATGCGGGTCAAGATAATCCCCATATTCCTACAAAGACAACCTTGTCCAGGGCAGGTCAGCAGGTTTAAGCTAAAGTCAGCTGTTTAATTGTGTGTCAAAATGAAGTGTTCCACATTTGCTATAAGCTTGTTACCGCAGAACCAAGATTTCCAATAAAAAGGAGAGGTGTGTTCCAATATTATTATCCAAATAAACTTTTGTACCCATTCATTCAGGTAGCATTACCAGCACACTACCGCTTCAGCTGGGTTGCATACATTGACTGAAGGTTGGATACAAAACTTCCATTTATCTAGTTTAATTTCCCAAACTTTTGATTAGTTCCCTGAATGGGAACTATGACTAATTTAAGTAAATTCAGATGTCTCATATTATGAGACTCGGGTTCTATATCAAAGCATTCAAAATGGAAATGAGTCTGAGTTCAAGTGTACAGAAAAGGGTATAGGAGAGATCCCAGAACATTTTTCCTGTGATAAATTGGATATAAAAGCCTGCAATGTCAAGTAGTTTTTAAATTATCATAAAATCATATGCAACCTTCCAGTAAATTTCCTTCCTACAAAAGTACATTAAGGAAACACTCAGGTGTTTCCTAACCCTAGAGTGTTATTCTAACTATTTAGATTAACGATGACCCCTTAATTAAGTTAGACAAAACATTTTACTTACCTGACATTGTCCAGAATGCCTGTCTGTCTGCTTTCACCCCTCCTCCGCTGGCTGAGAGAGAGATTGTCAATGCTAGTGATTTCAGCCAATCCAATACTTCCCCATAGGGAAGCATTGAGACAGTAGTGCACATTCACAACAATTGCCACCTATCAGCATCTCTTCATAAAGATGCATTGGCAGTGTTTGCATTTTTGAGCCTACATGCACAGTCTCTTTGCTCTTCAGAATCATCATGTTAAGTTGCAGTGGTTCTGGTGCCTAGGATGTCACTTTTAGGAAAGCTTCTCTACTAAGCAATTCTAGGTGGTCCAGGTATATAGATTCAAATTTAGTGACACCTACTGGTCAAAATATGAATTTAGCAATCTGAGTAAACTGGTATATACAACAATATGATTTTTTTTTCAGCTATAAGTTTATAGAAAAAGATACGGAAAGTACAAAGTATAGAAAGGGTAGAGGTTATGGGTAGAAATATGTGTGTCTTCAGACTGTCTAAACTCCCAATAAAGTATTGGTAGTGAAAAATCTGATGAAAAATGTGCTATTCGGGAGTAACTATGGTAACACAGACAGCACGAAGAACTTGCAATAGTCTTTTACAGTTCATTTTTGAAGGTGTCTGACACAATCCACAATAGATTTCCCTGGTAATGTGAAAGGATTTGAAAAAGCATGGGTGAAACAGGCTCCTGTGGTGAAGAAGAGGTCAAATGTGGTGAAGCATACTGGTAATCCTTGAAGTTTGTAATGTCTTTCAGTTAGTGGGACAATATTACATCATATGCGTGCTTTCAGGGCATAGATGCACCCCAGCAGCCTTGCAAATGAAAACAGTGTGGTTTCTGAGAAATGACACTGTTTTCATGATGCAAACTATTGTTTTTAGTGAATAACCCTGACAGCTACTAACACAACTATTAGCAACTCTCTATTTTAGATAGCTAAAGGCAGAAATTTTAAATAACTAAATAACTTTTCTTCAGTATATATATTTAAGGCTGGGCCTGTAGTTGTGGGAGGGGCTTGGTAACTCTTTCTCTCACACTGTTATGGGTCTTGTAAGTTGCAGGTGACGACTTCCGGTCACTTATAAGTCACCATCTTGCTGTTACCTTGTTTCCCCTTGTGGTCCGGTTTCCTTGTTGCTGGCTGCCAGTACAATCGTTTCTTCTCACTGACTGTTTCCAGCCCGCTTCTTGCTCCAGTTTGAAGGACACTGAACTGGAAGTTGTCCGCTGAACCTTAAGCTCTAGGCCCAGCCGTTGCGCCTCGGTTGCATCCCACGGCATCATCTCGGCTTGGGTCTATTTCATTACTTAACCGCTCATATGTTAATTAGTTTCTTTCTGCTTAAAGGCCCGAATGCAGGGTTATATACAGGGGAGCTCCTTTCGAATGTCTAGGATCCACTTCGCATGCTTTCGCACTGTTACGGACAAACAGCTATTCTAGCGAATAGTACACGATTCCAATTGAAGCTTTCGCCCGAACACCTTACACTCTATGAAGTTACACTTTATACAAATTAAAAGGAATTCTTAGACTACGGGTGTTTGTGTATTACGGCAATAAGGGGCCCTCTAACTGCTGCAAAAGGGTACTACAAGCTGTCAGTTTTTTTTTTTTCTTTCATATTTGTATCTCTGTTAAATCTCAGATGTTCCAACGGTCATTAACCATTGCATGTGGTCCTGTCTAGTCTCAAGACGGACATCCTGGAGGACAAGGATGTTATGACGAAAGCAACATCGCCACTGGGTTTTGGAGGGGCCTGTTTGCCAGCCTCCTACCCTGGGACTATAAGCCCTTTTGATAACCCATGTTCAAAACTACTGTTTATGCCCCATGGACTTTTAACTGGAACAGATTCTTAAATTGTCCAGCAGTGTTTTGTCATCGAGTGTATGGAACTGTTTTGGGCATGGGACCATGTGCACGGTGGGGCAAAAATAAGACTTCCAGGAAATTCCTGAACCCGAGAACCGATCTGGGTATGTTGTTCACCCAGATCGGGGCTATTTGTGGCGATATATTTTGTATTTTTGGGTACTTTTTGGGGTTTGTAAAACTCTTTGTTTTTCTGCTTAGAGTTAATTGAGTTAGTCCATTGTTTTTGTTAATTATGTCACAGGCAGAGGGGAGGGATTGTACTGACTGTATGTGGGAGTGTTACAGTGTTAATTATTGTTCCAATTGGTTTATTTGCCTTGTGTCCCTATTTTCTATCAGGTCCAGGGGGTGTGCCTCTGGCCTGGAAAACTGTATATATTCCAAGCTGTGGCAATAAACCTTCAGTTTTACTTCACCCTCAATCTAGAGTCCTGTCTCTTATTGGGGGAATCTGCTACAAGGGTTTGCTATGCTCTTCATACTCACTTGAATAATTACTAAGCTCTTGTAAGAGCTTGTTCCTGTTCCTTCTCTCTGGATTAAGAGAGGTTCACCCACTGGAACCTGGAGCCTTGTCGTAGGTCCAGGGTGGGTAGGAGACGGCGAGACCCCAACCTAGCTGTCGCGGTTCGTGGGGTATGCAGTGGTTATGGTGTCTGGTCGAGTGCTTGGAGCCCTCGGGAAGCACTGGGTGCATCCGTCAATGGTGTAAACACATTGCGGTGGAAATTGCTACAAAGTAGCAATTAGGCTTAACAAACTCCAGGGTGGTCTCCAGTTTGTGCGGCTGTTCAGTTCCCGAACCAAACATAAAATCCCATGAACCAAATCTGGGCCCATAGTCTTTTGGAAAGAGGCTGGCCAGCAGGCCACTCCAAAAACACGTGACAAGGCTCAGTTCGTCACACAGGCCTACTGCATTTGTCGGTTTTGGCCCACCACAACAAACTGGTTTTACTTTACTATTTGTATATTTGTATTCTCAACTATGTTATGTTTTACTATTTATCCTACAGCATTATTGCCCCGAACACAAATATATTTGTGTACGGCACATTTAGAGGAACGTATGGTTATGGTATTATGTAAATTAATAAGAACAAAAGTCGGTTGAGGTAAAAAGAGGGCCCACCTAGATAATATGAAATAATAAAGGGTGAGGAGGGAGGGGAACTTCCGAGATCATCGATGACAGGTAAGCAGGGGCTACTGGGTTTAAATAGGACCAATAGTCCCTCCCACAATTACAGGCCAAGCCTTCCATTTGTGTACGGCACATTTAGAGGAACGTATGGTTATGGTATTATGTAAATTAATAAGAACAAAACTAGGTTGAGGTGTGCCGAAAACAACGTGAGGTTAAACCTGTATAAAGAAGGCAAAAATTCTGAAAACTATTTCTTTTGCTAGACATACTTTATTTAGCAAGACATTATTTAGACATTTCATGGAAAGTTAGTCTGATTTCCTTTTCTGGATTAGGAATGTACCTGTTGTAGGCGGAGGGTTTCCAACGTCCCATGTTCATAATGATATGTGTTGGTATGTGATTACCAGAAGCTGCTGTGGCCGCCCCAATATGAAATGAATGGCCAGAGAAGGAATGCGGGTTGTGTCCTAGTCTGAGTATCAATGGGCATATGTATAGCATGAACTGTTTGGTTGTTAGGGGTTTCCTTGAATGGCTAGTAGTGGGAATTTGGGGTTAGCTGTAAGCTGTACCTTAACTAAGTTATCCAATATTTGAATTGGACACTACTTGGTAGAGGTAGGTAATATTTTATGTCTACTGGGGAGCCAGTCTGGCTAGTTTTGGTATGAGAGATTGACAGGATATAGTGGTCGTGCACTTTAGTTAGGTCTTTTCTCTCAAGGAATGACTTAAAGTTGGATGCTTTTTCCACGTAAAATTCCTCGTGTCTCAGGAAACCATAAAAGGCTATATAGGCTGCGGATTTGATTATCAGATTAGTGGTACTGTCAAAAGGGCTCTTGTCTAGTGAATCGGAGATGTTCCTAAATAGGTTACTATCTATTGGAAGTCTTTTAAGGGGATTATGAATTGTTAGTCTCTGAACGCCTCTTAGGACACTTTTGACTGGAGGCTAAAAATGGAGCTTTGTTAGGATAAATAGCTAACATGTAGTGTTGTATGTCTGTTAAGTAAAGTTTGATTGTATTGAATGCTAATTTTAGAGATATGTGGCAAAAAGTAATAATCTCTGTGTTGGGACCTTCTGTTTTGTCCAGGGCTACCGGAATTCCTAGATTTCAAACAGTGAAAGCATGTGACGTAGGCTGTCTGGTGTGAAGTGATGTGGTTCAATAGAGAGAAAATTGTCCAGACAGTGAATCACTACTGGACATCTGCATTTGTTAAGTAAGAGCCAAGTCAATGTTTCAGCAAAAATATCTTTGGGCTACTTTTGGAGCCAAAAGGTAGTCTAGTGGCGAAATAATTATTGTCCTCCCACTTAACGCCATGCAGATGACAGAGTGATTGATGGATTGGTAGTAGTTTAAGCAAAAATTTTTGTTTCATCAAAAATATCTAAAATCTTTGGGCTACTTTTGGAGCCAAAAGGTAGCCTAGTGGCGAAATAATTATTGTCCTCCCACTTAACGCCATGCAGATGACAGAGTGATTGATGGATTGGTAGTAGTTTAAATGCATTTGTAATATCTGTTTTACTTAACCATGTTGCTTTGCCGGAGTTAATGATAGCTTGTATGGCATTGTCTATTCTTGCATATTGTAATGAGAAATCCTCGGATGGTATTAGTGCATTTAGGCTAGGTGTAGTAGAAGACTGAGGTGCTGAAAAATCGATGATGAGGCTTTTTTTATTATTAAATTTTCCTGTTGCTATGCCTAGAGAGTTCGTTCTCCAGGAGGTGAAAGGTGGGGTAGTGAAAGGCCCTATCATGAAACCATTCTTGATCTCTTTATTGAGGAGTCAGTTAGTGAGTGCAGACTGTAAGTTGGGGCATTCCAGAATTCCTGTGGGGAGTGCAACAAAACCCGTGTGAAACCCATTAGTTAAACCAGAGGTGAGAAATTCTACCAGATCTGAAGAAGGGTACTCAGTCAGGTAACGCTGCAAATTAGGTACGTTTATTGGTGTAGATGATCTTTTTGGGTACAATCTGTTTGGGCACATTGTTTTAGCATGTGCTCTGAAACAAAGTAAGCACCCATGAAGGAGTCTGCAAGCACTGTAATTACATCCGCCAGCATTGAAGTGGTTACAGACTTGGGTCTTCCCCAGAAAAATGATAGGCCTGCCTAGTTTATCTCTCAATTCTCTTTGGGCCATATTGGGTAGAAAATCTGGGTTGGTATTGCCAGTGGAAGGTATTGCCACGTTACTGGGACAGAAGTTAACCGCATGAGCTGCTGAGGAACATATTGCACATGATGGTGTTTTAAACCTGCAAAATGTCTACAAAATAATTCTGTGTCTAACTGGCCTCAGTCAGTAGGCGTATTGTATTGGGCTAGTAATGCAGCAGATTAGAAGCGAAGGACTTGTGGTAGTCGTGGAAGACGTAGCCTCCGTATTTATACACTAGGTCTATCAGCTTTTGTAAGTATAAGTCAAGTTCTTCTCTACGGTGGGGAAAAGCTGAACAAATAATGTCCCTATACAGGCCGAAGGCCAGGACAAATTCAGGAATATTTAATTTCCTGTTAAGTCTAGGGTCTCTAGACTTCATTACTACGGACAAGTCGTCAAACATGTAAGATCTGTTCTCAATTACGCCTTGTGATGTTATGAGCAGTGAGGCCAGATTAATGTCTTTCCCTTCTATAATGTCCCTTTTTATTTTTTGTGGAATGAGGTGTACCGGGTTAATGATATTGGTACTTTTTGCGGTAAGAGGGTTAGCGTTACCTCCTAAATTAGGCTCTGGCTGGGCAATGGGTATTTGAGCCTCCGGAATGGTTGTTCGGTTATTGGACTCCAAATTATCCAACTGGTTATTTATAGTGGCTATGGAAGTCACTAGGGAAGCCATCATGTTGTGAAGTTCTGATAAACTATTTTGGATGTTATATTCGGAACTAGGGCTTTCATTATCATCATGTGTAACAGGTGAAAAAGTTTGGCTTTCCTGGCTGTGGCAGGGAAGGGAATGTTTTTCTTTTTGAGTTTGGCTGTAATTTTAGGTATTGTCCAGGATCTGTAGCTGGATGCTGGGCTGGCCAGTACGGTTTGCCTTGTCTGGGAACTTGGTCAGGTCGGGGTGCTGGCCACCGACAGATCGTCTCCTTGTATTGAAGCATTGGACATGTTATGGGTGTGAGGCAGGTGACACAATTAATATGATATCCAGATTGATATGAAGTAACCCAGCTCCCTAGTTTAATGCCCGAAGGCGAAATGATATAATACTAACT